CCCCCTGCAGAGAAAAATCTAAATAAAAGGCATTGTCTCATGCTCTACTGTGCTCCAGCTGCAACAAGCTGACAGCCAGCAGAGAGAGAACATGCATACTGATGCATTGAGGTCTCTGTCTGTGTTTGTTATTTTCGCCGACCCTCCATCTCCCTTTTTGGGTACCCACAACTCGACTGGAGCTGATCTCCAGCAATGACTCGCCGACCCTCCCTCTCCCTTTTTGGGTACCCACAACTCGACTGGAGCTGGTCTCCAGCAATGACCTTTATATAAGCACAATCCAGAAAGATAACATAAACACCACACATACAGGACACACACACACACACACACACAGAGGTTACACATATACACATACCTGTATGGATTTGTAGTGGACAAATATGCACACACTTGCACACACACACACGCATGCACATGCATGTATCTCTGAACAGAGTCCTTGGTAGTAAATTGTTTGAAGTTTAATCACCCTCACAGTCTTGAAGGCTTTGAAATCCAAATCTTTCTTTCACACGTTAAGCTATTTCATTGTGTTTAATGCAATGCAAAAATTTTAAACCATGTAAAAAACTCACCTATAAATACAAGCTACCAAATACACATTCTTTTGCAGTAGTATGAATTTAAATTATGCTACATAAAACTTATGTAAATAAAACTTCTATAACCTCCATGTAACCTGCTCCTACCCATCCTTCCTTAATATCTGAACATAGGCTCTCCTCTTGAGTTGCCCACCCTGCTGTCTCTCTTTCATCCTGGGCAGAATTGTATCCTTTACCAAGTAAAGTAATGCATAGCTTCCTACTTGCCAAAGGTGACTTTGGATACCTTTCCTTTTCAGGACTCCTCATGCAGTCAGTGACTGCTTGGAGAAGTATCCTTTACTACTCCTGCTGCTTCTTTTCTGTTGATATTTCTCATTCTCAGATCCATTCCTTCTCTGTTCCCATACCTAGATCCCTGGTTTAGTAACTGATCAACTTAATGCCTGGACCCTAACACAGTAACCCTTTTGCTATTTTCTTTTTGATGTATAATTTTCCTACCAGTCTGTCATCTCTCTCTTTAGATACCACCATCATTATTATCACCTTGAGCCTCAGAGCCCTGCATATCTCCAAGTTTGTTATTGTTTTTTTTTTGTATGAGTAATTTTAAAACAGATCATGGACTTTTAGTCTTTTACTACAATGCTCTCCTTTTTTTCTAACTCTCCTAGCCTTTCATTATACTTGGGCTTATACATTTCACTCTAAGTAAATGCAGTTGCTGTAAGCCTTATGAGGCTTATAGAATCCTACAAATTTGGAGTTTGATAAAAGACCTTAAAAGTCATCATGTTTTGGGGCCGGCCTCGTGGCGCACTCGGGAGAGTGCGGCGCTGGGAGCGCAGCGTCCGCAGCAACGCTCCCGCCGCGGGTTCGGATCCTATATAGGAATGGCCAGTGCGCTCACTGGCAACACCAAGCCAAGGGTTGTGATTCCCTTACCGGTCACGAAAAAGACAAAAAAAAAAAAGTCATCGTGTTTTACATCCATTGTTTTATTTAATCCACAAAACAACCTTCTTTATCCAGTCAACCACCAAATATTTATTGAGCATGAGCCATGTTCGTGCCTTCATGGAACTTATATTTTACTGGAAGAAATAGTCAATAAGCGTATAAACAAATATATTTAATACAGTGTAATATATCTACAGTGTAATATAGTGTAGTGTAAATATCTACCTGTGAGGTAGGCTCTATTGTACTTTCTAATTCACATCTTACATATGAGGAAACAAGGCTTAGAAAGAAGTGTGCTTGGGCCGGCCCGGTGGCACACTGCTACAGTGCACCGCTTGGGAAGCGTGGCGGCGCTCCCGCCGAGGGTTCGGATCCCACATACAGACCGGTTCTCGCTCACTGGCTGAGCGAGGCGCGGGAGCAACACCGAGGGCTGCGATCCCGTTGCCGGTCCCGGTCTGGTACGGGGGCGACACTGAGGGTTGCGATCCGTTGCCGGACACGGAAAAAGACAAAAAAAAAAAGAAAGAAGTGTGCTTAAGGCTACACCATCTCTATGGCTTCATGGCATGAGTGCTGAAATACTTCCCACTTATTCAAGTACATAGACTAGTGAAGACCTAGCATTTATTCAGCATATTGCCTTACCTCTTAATTATGATTGTCAGCTGTGTATACATGAAAACTGTCAGAGATGCAGACATCAGGAAGAATCTGCTTAAACTGAGGACATTGTCTGACAATATCATTCTTCAATATATCCAGGATATGAATTTTTTTCTATTTGCTTCTTTTTTGCCTCAAACATGACCTACCCACTGGACAATCTAAAATGCTATTAAAATATTTAAATGTCTTGCAGGATAAGTCATTAAAATCTTTTATCATAATTTAGTCATATATAATTAATTTTTATAGAGGTTATTTATGGAAATTGATATATGTTTTCATAAAAACAAAGATTCAATTACAATGAAGTGTTCCATTATTTCTCACCTACCAAGATGTCATTTTGGTTCTTATGGTCAACTTCTGATGCCTTTCTCCTTCAGTCCATTAAATCAAGATGCTCCAAGTTTTCTCCTGGCTTCACTACCTGTGTGGAGTCCATTAAATCAAGATGCTCCAAGTTTTCTCCTGGCTTCACTACCTCCTGAAGCAGGTACAGTAATGGTGCAGGAACACCAATCCTACCTGTTCGATCTGAGGAAACATTTCTCAGGAAATTCTTTTGTAGGACTGAATTTCAAATAATGCATATACTGCAAATCATTTTAATAGCAAATCACTGGAATTTTATTCACCTTTCTGATCTTTTTACT